CACTGCTGCATTGTACACTACTGTATAATACACCTAACACTGCATACTACACTACTGTACAATACACCTCACACTGCATACTACACTACTGTACAATACACCTACACTACTGTACAATACACCTCACACTGCATACTACACTACTGTACAATACACCTCACACTGCATACTACACTACTGTACAATACACCTACACTACTGTACAATACACCTCACACTGCATACTACACTACTGTACAATACACCTCACACTGCATACTACACTACTGCATACTACACCTCACACTGCATACAACACTACTGTACAATACACCTCACACTGCATACTACACTACTGCATACTACACCTCACACTGCATACAACACTACTGTACAATACACCTCACACTGCATACTACACTACTGCATACTACACCTCACACTGCATACAACACTACTGTACAATACACCTCACACTGCATACTACACTACTGTACAATACATCTCACACTGCATACTACACTACTGTACAATACACCTAACACTGCATACTACACTACTGTCCAATACACCTCACACTGCATACAACACTACTGCATACTACACCTCACACTGCATACAACACTACTGTACAATACATCTCACAATGCATACTACACTACTGTACGATACACCTCACACTGCATACTACACTACTGTACGATACACCTCACACTGCATACTACACTACTGTACAATACACCTCACACTGCATACTACACTACTGTACAATACACCTACACTACTGTACCATACACCTCACACTGCATACAACACTACTGCATACTACACCTCACACTGCATACAACACTACTGTACAATACACCTCACAATGCATACTACACTACTGTACAATACACCTACACTACTGTACGATACACCTCACACTGCATACTACACTACTGTACAATACACCTCACACTGCATACTACACTACTGCATACTACACCTCACACTGCATACAACACTACTGTACAATACACCTCACACTGCACACTACACTACTGCATACTACACCTCACACTGCATACAACACTACTGTACAATACACCTAACACTGCATACAACACTACTGCATACTACACCTCACACTGCATACTACACTACTGTACAATACACCTAACACTGCATACTGTACTACTGTACAATACACCTCACACTGCATACTACACTACTGTATACGACACCTAACATTGCATACTGTACTACTGTACCATACACCTCACACTGCATACTACACTACTGTACACTACACCTAACACTGCATACTACACTACTGTATACTACACCTAACACTGCATACCATACTACAGTATACTACAATACTGCATATTAATCTTCACACTGCATATTACACTACTGCCTGCTAACCCTAACACTGCATACTAACTCTACTACTGAAAACTAACATGACTGCATACTATACTACTGAATTCTAACTCTTCTGCATACTCTACTACCAAATACTAATTCTACTACAGACTACAAACTCTACTACATACACTTCTAAACACTAACTCTACTACTGAATACTAACTACTGCTTAATGCCAACTCTACTACATACACTTCTAAACACTAACTCTACTACTGAATACTAACTACTGCTTAATACCAACTCTACTACATACACTTCTAAACACTAACTCTACTACTGAATACTAACTACTGCTTAATACCAACTCTACTACATACACTTCTAAACACTAACTCTACTACTGAATACTAACTACTGCTTAATACCAACTCTACTACATACACTTCTAAACACTAACTCTACTACTGAATACTAACTACTGCTTAATACCAACTCTACTACATACACTTCTAAACACTAACTCTACTACTGAATACTAACTACTGCTTAATGCCAACTCTACTACATACTGTAATACTGAATACAAACTCTACTGTGTACTGCACTATTGAATCCTAGCTCTACTACTGAGTCCTAACTGCACTACTGAATACTAACTCTACTGCAGACTATACTACTGAATACTAACTACTGCTTAATACCAACTCTACTACATACCATACTACATTATATACTGCTTTACTACCGAACACTAACTCTGATGTACGTCATGAAGACAAATGATAAAAATTTAATAAGAGCTAACAGAAATTCACAAATCCACTAAGAATGCTGGGAAGCTGAACCTGCTCTACTAAATACATAATGTACTAAATCAACGTGAGCCCGTTTCAGTAGTTTGAAGAGGAGGAAACTGATGAACGTTTCATTCTTCAGTAGGAGTGTTTTAGTATTTCCCTCAGATCAGTTTCCCGCCTGTTTTACAGTGTAACAGCACTGAAACATCAGTTCAAACAGGAGACATGGAGATCAGAGTCAGAGCAGCTGGATTATCACTCATTCTAGTCGCTGCTCTGGATTAACTTTAGACTGATCACAGCTTCTCTTAGGAATGAACACACAGTCACAGGCTCCACCTGCTGGCAGCTCACTGTAACTGCACCTTCTGTCCAATGTAAAGGAGAAGGAGGTAATCGTGGAGCGTGAGGTGTCTGTGAGATCACTGCACTGTTTAATCTGTGTCTATAAACTCAGCACAGACAGACAGCAGACTTTGTTCAGACAGCAGTGGTATATACGTATTCACTATTATTACATATACACACTTACATACACATAATAAATCAAAAACAATATTATCATGTAGATACGGACATATGGAATACATATGGGACAATACAGTTGTTAGGTCTTACATATATTTATGTAACATATACATGACACATTAGTATTGCATACAAATAATACAAACTCTCTCTCTATATATATACATACACACACACATATATATATATATATGTGTCTGTGTGTACACTGTAAGTATAATATATATACCTAATTATATACAACACATAGGGATCATTATTATCATTGCGTATAGGTACTCATGTGTGCATATAACACATATGGGCAGTATGGTATGACTCCAGTCCTGCCACCGTATCACTTCTCTAACGAGTTTAAGATCAAAGCAGAAAGCATATGGCTCCACTAAGCCTCTTAAACACCTGCTGTGGTCAGTGAGCGACGCTCTCGACCAATCAGAGGACTCGGTTTAATCTGCACCGTGAGTAAGGAATCTCTCCCGCTCTGTCAGACGGCGCTGGCGGCCGAGCGGCGTGATGGAGGACTGGGCGGAGGGCGTGCTGGGCTCTGTGTGTGTGGACGGTGCGGAGGGGGTGCTGGAGCAGGTGGAGCGGTGGGAGGTCTGTCTGAGGCTGCTGGAGAATCTGAGTCTGGATCTGCTGGGAGGGCTGCAGAGCCTGCTGGAGGACCGCAGGGTCTGTGTGCGTCTGCTGGGGGCGCTGTGGGCGGATGACCCGTCCGTCTGGGCCTTCCTCAACTTCTGATACACACGCACACACACACTCACACACACACACACACTCTGCACTTCGCTCTCTGAAGCTCCTCTCAGCTGGAACATCTCCGCACTGTTTGAGGGACGAGGCTGGAGCTCAGCTTCCCTGTTGGCCAGCTACTCATCAGCACTCTCCGTTACATTCTGGCCTCAGTCCTCCAATCATCTCTTAGCTGATGGACTATGCGTGTTATGAGTGGGGAAGCTGGGGGGGGGGTGTCACTGTTTGCAGTGAACTATCGCTTTAATGTCTCCAGTAACGCTGACGAATCCTCCATCCTGCAGCTGGAGTTCTGCCAGATCCAGCAGGTTCACACACATCTGGAAAATCCCGGAAAATCACAGGAACTCACAGGAGGGAGAGGCGAGAAAGGAGCTTCGGAGGAACGTCCAGATCTAGCGGGCAGAACTGATGGGACATCAGAAGATTCTGCTGGAACTGGACCTTGACCTCCAGCTCAGAGTAGAGAAATGTGTCCACCTCATCACTCCACTCTGACCTTTGACCCTGGTACATTAAAATGGGGGGGTGAGAGTTTGGATGATTTCTGTTGGTCAGAATATGAGTGGATCTGTTTGTCCACTGATCGGTTTACTTTTCATTTTAGACGTATGGACTTTACACCGTAATCATAATGTGCTTCCCACATAACTAAACCATTTACTGTAAAACTGTAACCAATAAACGGAGATTCTTCATCCATGTAAGCTGTTTTTGAGATGTTTCCACATACATTAATGCATACGTATGTATATATGACCCATATGACCCAAATGCAGTCTAATTTAAATTAAATTCACCAGTAACACTTTCAACAGTGCAATTCAACATTAAATACATTAAACCGAAGGTGAACCAGAGTCCAGTGGGTTCAGTTACAGCTTTGACTTTAAATGGTTCAAAGCCAACAGATTCATAAACATGTAGAAATTAGAGGTGTAACAGTGAAGCTGCAGGTATTGAAGAGTTTGTATTCAATTGAATGGTATCATTGTATCATGACTAGCATGTTAGCTTGTGGCTAATGTGTTAGATCAGGACACTTAGAGCAGCTTTTGTTTCAAATAGTGAGCTTTTATGAAGTCGAAGGCTCTAATAAGCTGTAACATTAACATATTAACATACTGACGTCACACAGGTTTCCAGGCCCCGCCTTATTTTGGCTGCACTGAAAATCTAGTTGAATCATCCTGCTAAAAACATAGATACCATTAAGTGTTTTTGTTGTTTCCTGGTTGTTTTGGCTTTTCTTGATGGGTTGAAACTAGTGGTCTCTGTTGGAAACCATTAAGCCAAATCCCATTAGAAGGCAAAACCATCAGGTTTTAATGCTAATGGTTTCTAATAGTCTTTTTCCAGCAGGGCGAGACGCTGCCGTGTCGTATCGAATCAAATGATTCATTTTATGAGTCGTTATCCGTCCGCATGTCAGCTGATATTTACAGCACTGCAGGACTTCATTCCTAAATTAGCCCTAAATAAACAGGAGTCCGCTCAGTTGAACAGAAAAGTTCATTTTTTCAAAGTTTTATTTTAAACTACATTTCCCATAAACCCACACAGGCTGCAGCTTGCTGACGTCAGCGCAGTAAAGGCTACGTACACACGGCTCACTCGCTCAATGTTTACCGAGCGTTTGCGCTCCGTTGGAGACCGAAAGCGGGCCTTTCTGTGCGGTTTATCACGGGATGAGGCTGTAAAAGGTGAGATAATCTGTTTATCTGTGTGTTTTTAACGGTTAAAGGCTCGTTTTCGGGGTAAAGTCGCCGCTGAGAGCTCGAATCGGCAGTGGACGCTGCTGATGTCGGACACCGCTACGTGTCACTCGGTCCGCGGACTCGTCTCTGACATCATCAGCTCCTCTTTCTCCGCTGATTCATTTATTTATTTAGTGTGTTTACTCGCTTTAAAACAGTCCAGCTGGAGACTAAGTTCACCTGTAGCGCTGTTGCCTATTTCAGTCACGGTTAATGAGCTCAAAGCGCTCGCAGGTGTTCAGTTTAGTCTGTTTTGGGAGTTGACTCTTGAGTGACAGCTGGTTTGATTCAGTTTTACCGAACCGATTCTTTTAGTTCTTCAGTTTTAGTGAATTAAGCTGATTGACAGAGTCAGCTCTTTCTTCCAAACAGAGGCTGATGTTTGTGCCTCTTCTAAAAGCTGCTGGTATCACAGCGAGTGGTGGGTTTGCGTTCTTGTCCGAGAGTCGAGGATTTGATTCAGTTTGAATTGGCACTGAACGATGTGAATCAGGGGTCGGGTGAACCCTGAGTCAGTAGTAGAGTCTCAGAAATGTGGAGATGGTTGAATTTGTGGTCAGATATATACAAACAAAATTTCCTAATCAAAGCTGAATTATTATGATTGTGTTTGTTTTTGTGCAGATAATAAACACATTTTGATTCATTTGGGCTGTGATTCACCGACTCATTTCAAAGAGTCGTTCAGAAAGAAGGATCTGTTGGTGAATCTTGGCAGGTGAGCAGGATGAGCGCGTGGGTCCTGGGGCTGGACGTGTGCGGCTGTGCGCTGCTGGCGTTCCTGCTGCTGCGTCGCTATGGTGACCTGGCCAAGCAGCACCGCATGGTTCTGCTGGCCACACTGCTGGCCTGGTGCCTCTGCTTCATCATCGTCTTCACCATCCCTCTGGACGTCAGCACGGTAAGCACCTGCAGCTCAGGTGAGTCACCCACCTGCACTGCTCCTGCGCAGGTTCATGCTTTATCTGCTCTAACACATCTGGTTAAACCCCTTTGAAGTTCTTCAGGAGGGTCAGGTGGAGGTGATGGAGCAGATAAAACTGGGAATAAAGGAGCCGGATTAGGAAATGCTGAGTAAACAGCTTAGCTGGACCTCACGGCACCTTCTGTTCCAATTCCTACCACACCTGAGCCAGGTGAGCACCATCCACAGCTTCATTCCCTGCCTCAGGTGTGTTTAGAGCTGGAACAGAATAAAACTTGAACGTCCTGGACACGTTCTGTGCTAAACCAGCTGGAGTCCAGCGTCTGTACAGCTGCTGTAGCTCACCTGAGTCACCTGATCAGCTCATCGAAGCCTTTGATGAGTTCTACAGTCTACAAAGCTCTAACTCTGCTCTGTGTCTCTGCAGACGATCTATAATCAGTGCGTGATCGATAAACACCATGTGGTCAGCACGACAGTGAGCCGCCCCAATCAGACGGACAACTCCTCAGTGTTTCCCACAGAGAGGTAACCTCACCTGTTCACATGTTCATCTCTATACCTCTTCACCTGTTTAACGGTACACCTGTACACCTGGTTTCCCGTTTACCTGTATACCTCTTCAGCTGTTCATATGTTCACCTGTTCACCTTCAACATGATCAGAATTAGATCAGAACTCCAGCAGTTCCAGTTAAACAGAGATTCACTGATGCGGCGGTTTCATTTTCCAGCACTGGTTCAGACGCGTCTGCAGTGATGTGAACTCTGAACTGTGTGTGTTTGTGTGCAGTGCACCTAAAGTCTGTGATAAACCCTGGGGCTACATTCCGGATGGGATTCTGCCCGTGTTCTGGAGGGTGGTGTACTGGACCTCACAGTCCCTGACATGGTGAGAACATCTTCAGATCTGCTTAACAAAAGCTGAAACTGGTGCTCCAGCTCTCCAGCCTCGTACCGGAGTTTTCCGTTCCACCCTAAATGAGTAACTGCCGCACCATTTAAGGTGGAACAGGAAATCTGAAAAAGAAGAACTGGATGCCAACTTCACTCACGTGTTTGAGGCGACTGTGTGCTGACCTAAGTATGCAGTTAGCATCATGCTAATTGGTGTACATAAGCTTCCATGACTTGTTAGCTACATTAGCCTCGTAGCTTCAGTGCTACAACTAAAGAAGTAGACTTCAGACAACAGGCAGCGGCTGACTGACCACATTTGGGGTGAGGAGGGGAAACTGGGGGAGTTAGTCCTCTTTCTGAACTGCTGCCTTAAAGTGGTACCTGGATGTGCTGTAACTGTTATGAATGTGTGTGTGTGTGTGTGTGTGTGTGTGTGTGTGTGTGTGTGTGTGTGTGTGTGTTCAGGCTGCTGATCCCCTTCATGCAGTCGTACGCTCGGTCCGGCGCCTTCTCCATCTCTGGGAAGATAAAAACAGCTCTGATTGAAAACGCCATCTACTACGGCACCTACCTGTTCATCTTCTGCTCTCTGCTCATCTACGTCGCCGTCAGCCCTCAGTGGCACCTCTCCTGGTCAGTCTAGGAGCTATTACCCATTTATTAGGCACTTATTACACTTCATAACCAGTTACAGCATCTGTTACACATCTGACAATCACTGACCATTTATTATACCTGTTAACCAATCACACCATTACACACCTGTCTGACTGACCTGTGAACCAGTCTAACAGCATTACACGCCTGTCTAACTCACTTGTCCATCACACCTCTGATCCAGTCACATGTCTACCATACCCGTAATACAGTCACATACCTGTATATCACACCTGTCAACCAATCACGCACCTGCATATCACACCTGTGACTCAGTTACACATCTTGTTACCCAAATGCTCAGTCAGGTATAACAGATCACTCTGACGCACCTCCTGAGCTGTGATTGGTCACTTGCTCTCAGGTATGACCTGCGCACCATCGGCATCACGGCGGCTAATACGTGGGGGCTGTTCCTGCTGGTGCTGTTGCTAGGATACGGGCTGGTGGAGATCCCACGCTCCTGCTGGCTGGCGTCGTGCCACGGACACCTGCTGGCCAAAACCTATTTTAAAGTGGCCAAACTGATGACGGAGAAAGCAGACGCTGAGGAGAACCTGGAGGACGTCATGGAGGTGGAGCAGGGGGGTGGATGGATGGGTGGATGGGTGGATGGATGGGGTGGATGGGTGGATGGATGGATGGGTGGATGGATGGGTGGATGGGTGGATGGATGGGGTGGATGGATGGATGGATGGATGGGTGGGTGGATGGATGGATGGGTGGATGGATGGATGAATGGACTGCTGCACATTTTAAACATGGGTCAGAGAGATTCAGAGTGGTTTGGTGTGAAATGGTTCAGGTGTCTTTACAGTGGTGCTGATAGGAACCAGGGGTCGCCATGACTACAACACAGATATAGACATTTTATTTACTATCCAGAACCACCAGTGAACCTACACGAGTCTTCTGAGCTTATATGGAATGTTGATGATGGAAAATAGTGGAAAATCTGAAATAATACGTTTTCTTTGGGGACTATTTTGCCTCACAGCGCCCTGCATGTATCCCTCCACCATGAATGGAGTTCAAGTTCTCAAAACGATCATAAAACAGTGTGTCACCAAACTGCTCTGAACGACTCTGTTTACATCTGAACCACTTAATTATGCAGAAAATTTAGAAAAACGGGTGGAATTCCCCTTCTGTGTTTATGTGGTTATGCAGGACGTTAGAGGAGTTAATGAAACCATCAAGTACAACCATCCACTGAGGAAGTGTATCGACACCATCCTGAAGAAGGTCAGTCTGCAGCTCACACACTGACCCCTATCATCACGGCCATTCAGTCATATCGCCCCCTACACTTCCTGTAGTGTATTACAGTCTGTCAGAGTGACTGTGTGGATCATATGAACATTAGAGCTCTGTTGCCTGGTTCTTGTGTCTCTGATTGTCTCCGTGTCTCTGTCTCAGTGTCCTGTGGACTACCAGGAGAAGCTGGGGAGGAATATGGACGACTATGAGGATTTCGATGATAAGAGGAACCCGTGTCCCAACAAGAAGAGCCTGGTCAAGCTCCATAAACAGGTCAGAGATCTGACTCCACAGCTGAATGTCCTGGTCTCTGTGTTTCACTAAGGCTGGTTCGTTGTCCTCCTCAGTGCTGGTGTCGAGGGTTTGTCTGCGTCCTGTGTTGAGGAATGTGCTGTGGTGGTTTTAGTCACAGTGGCTTTGTCTGCGAGAGGAATGTGGTCCATCAGCCACGACAAGGTGTCTGACGTTTGCCTCTTTAGTGTAGCGCTGAAGGCTAATGTAGCACACGCTAGGAAATCTTACACCCCACCAATTAGCCTCGTGCTGTAGCTATTAATAATGTGGTTCTGACCTTCCATGACAGCTGATATCAGCCTTTGCGGATACTGATGCTTGTTGGAATCGGCCTTAACGAATGTTCAGTGGTCAAAAAGCTTTATGTAGGCGTCCATTAGCCTTACGAATGCTGCCCTTCGGTAAAGTGATACCAAATGGACAAAAGTAGATCACACAGCAAAACCATTAACAGTCTCGTTGAATATCTCGTCCATGTTTATAATCCAGTCTGTTAGAGAAGAACTGAACAGCTCCACATCCTTTGAGGCACGAAGCTGAAGTTCGCCATGTTCGTTTAAATTCACCGTTTAAGGTAGAAGGGAAAGTTTTAAGAATAAGAGAGAGACCAGAGTACTCAGAACTGACGATGTGAAATCACTGATAAAATCAGAACAACAACCATATGAACAGTTCGTAGCGTTTGGCTCAGTTACCCACAGAAACGCCTTTTTCGGGCTGTTCTGGCTGCTGTGCTGTAGCTGGTCTCTGGTTATGAGCTGCCGTTACTCCCCTCTGCCTGATGTTTCCCCACCTCTGTCTAACAGGTGATCTACGCGGTTCAGAGACATAACCGCACGCAGGTGCAGTGGCAGATCCTGTTGGACGAAGCCTTCCACCTGGAGGACGTGGCTAAGAACGAGACAAGCTCCGCCCACCAGTTCATCCACAGCTTCCCTTCATCCCAGCCCTCCAGCTGGTTCAGTAAATTCATATACACTCCCACCGCAGGTATGGAGTCATTCAGCGCACTCTACTAACACACTGACCTGTGAACGCATACCGATGGTTATCACGCACTGACCGGGTCGTTTGACCGACTCTGTGTGAATGGAGAAGGTCAGGGTTCACCCAGGGAACAGTATCAGAACCGTACATTTAAAATGATCCCCACTGCAGCCTGTCGGAAAACCAAGAACGGAAGAGTTCTTTATATGTCAGATAACCCAAACACAGCCACGGCCAGCTGAACCCAGATAACCCAAACACAGCCACGGCCAGCTGAACCCAGATAACCCAAACACAGCCACGGCCAGCTGAACCCAGATAACCCAAACACAGCCACGGCCAGCTGAACCCAGATAACCCAAACACAGCCACGGCCAGCTGAACCCAGATAACCCAAACACAGCCACGGCCAGCTGAACCCAGATAACCTAAACACAGCCACGGCCAGCTGAACCCAGATAACCCAAACACAGCCACGGCCAGCTGAACCCAGATAACCCAAACACAGCCACGGCCAGCTGAACCCAGATAACCCAAACACAGCTACGGCCAGCTAATCGCAGCTACAACCACAGCAGAACGTTTCTGCTGCACCTTTTAAGGTGGAACCGGAAATTAAATAATAGCTTCACGTCTCAAAGCGTTTTTCAGTGTCTCTAAGTCTTGATTCTGTAATTCACTGTGTTTATAAACATGGACTAAAGTGCATTATAACCAGCATTATAACCAGCATCGCTAACTGAATCTCTCTCTCTCTCTCTCTCTCTCTCTCTGTGTGTAGAGTGGTACTGGGAGTGTGTGCTGCGGCGCTGGTGTTACCGTGTGCTGGCCGTGGGGCTGAGTTTGATGTCCGTGGCCGTGGTGTGGTCAGAGTGCACATTCTTCAGCACTCAGCCTGTTCTGTCACTCTTCGCCATCTTCATACAGCTGGCTGAGAGACAGTACAACTACCTCTACATACAGGTAACTGAGGGTTCTCCAGTGGAACCTTTAGAACTCTAACAACACCAAAATCACAGCCACTAGAATTCATATGCTCTTCAGAGAAAAAGGCCGAGCCATTTGAGTGTAGGCGTGACCATATCATAAGCCCCGCCCATTTCCTCTTCCACCTAATTCTGATAAGAGCCACCCAGAGACAAGTCCCGCCCCTCCCCATCCACTTATGTTGATAGAAAGCACCCAGATGAGTAAACCCCACCCCCTTTACTCTGATAGACTGCACCATGACTGATTAAGCCCCACCCACTTTACTCAGACAGGAGCCGCCCAGATAAAGAAGCCCCGCCCCTCCGTGCCCACTTTATGCTGATAGGAAGCACCCAGGTGAAAGTGTGTTGTGTTTGTCCACTAGATGGCAGTGTCTGTCTTTATTAGAAGGTGTAATGATGATTGCTGTGCTGTGTTTGTCCACCAGGTGGCGTGTTTTATCACCATAATCTTCCTGTGCTACTGCGTGTACTCCACTGTGTTCCGGATCCGAGTGTTTAACTACTACTACCTCGCTCCCCATCACCAGACCGACGCCTACAGCCTGCAGTTCAGCGGCATGTAGGACTCACTCGCACTCACCGCCGTCCCTGAACGAGGGAGTCTCCTCCATTCACAGTTATCCTGATGTGGTTTTGACACGTGCGTTTGTGTGCAGGTTGTTCTGCCGTTTGACTCCGCCCCTCTGTCTGAATTTTCTGGGAGTGATCCACATGGACTCCATCATCTCCCACCAGCAGAGACAGCAGACCAGCTACACTTCAGTGAGTCTCACACACAAACATACACAGTTACAAACGTCCTCAGTCAGATTCGTAATAACCTGCATGAACATGAACAGACAATGACGGATTAAAGGGAAACCCATCATTAAGTGTCTCAGTACGATGTCGGGTCACGATGAGCCTCCAGAACAGCTTGTTGTGGAAGTCTGTGGAACTGGTCTGGAGCGATGGAACACCGTTCTTCCCAAAGATGTTCCACGGTTGGTGTTGTGTCGATGGTGGTGGAGAATGTGGGCAAACACGTCGCCCCTACGTCTCCCCATAGCTGTTCTGCTGGGTTGAGATCTGGTGACTATGGAGGCCACAGCATATAAACATCATCAACATACTCATCAAACCGTTCAGTGACCAACTATTGATCTGCAGTGACCAACTGTTATGACCCAGTCCAGGGTCAGGCAGTAGAGGAATGGTGTGGTGTGAAATGTGTAAAAATGAGAGAAAAACAGGAAACGGCTCTTAACAGCAAATCCAAAGTGTATCATATAAAGGGACGGTGCGAACAGGGGTTCAGGGGCCGGTTCCACCCGCTCTGCGCGGTTCACACGTGGGCTGGTTGTAACATAAGTGTTTACTAAGTTCAGGCTTATCGTCACTAAATCAGAAGGAGCTGCACCACAGACCAGTTTCAGCGTTGATCCAAAATCGAGGTCACCTGGTCCTGCGTTCTCATACCCGACGCAGAGCTGTTAGCATGCTAACTGATTAATTGATGCAGGTCACCGGTCTGGAAGCGTCGCTGACTGTTATGCTGCTCCACTTGTATCTTCAGGTTTGTCCTATAATTTGTCACTGTAAATACACAGTTAACACACTTATAATCTCTCTCTGTCTCCCTGTCTCAGATTATGGGTTCTATGCGGGTTCTGTCGTTCATCGCTAACGGGTTTTATATCTATTACCCAATGCTCATAGTGCTCCTCTGTATCGCCACCTACTTCAGGTAAGATTACACAAACACTCACTTCCAACAAAACAATAACTCACCAACAACCGACGCCCTAATCTGCTGGATTAACCGTGAAACACTGAACCCTAATCTGTATCCTCTTCTGTTGATTTTTAACAGGGTTACCCTCTTTAGTTCATTTAAAGGCTAACGTTGATACCTTAAATGCCACTGAATCTGCCTCCTTCACAGTTAATGTTGAAGATACCAGTCTAAACAACGGCTGCCTGAATTAACCTTAATTAGTAACTATGACAACGTGGGTTTATTGATTTGCCCGTCTGACCAGTAAAAGAGGCTCGTAGGCATGAAGCGTTTCTAAAAACCTTTACTTGGTCGAAAAGTTAAACAGCAACGTAAAAGCTTTCAGTCGGCTTCACAGCACGGCTTCAGTTTCTTTAAATTACTAAAGTTTCACAAGCAAAGTACACGTTTTACATTTTACAGTCCCTAAAATGGTCTGTATTCAACATCAGTTCAGTGTCTGTGTTACACTGTCAGCCACACTTCTCTCCAGATGTCGATATCAGACCAGGATCAGCCACAATCACCTGACCTTTGCTCCGCTGTGACCAGGATAAGAGTGGAGAGTTCAGCTTTACTCTCTCTCTCTCTCTCTCTCTCTCGCTCTCTCTCTCTCTCTCTCTCCCTCCAGTTTAGGGACGAGGTGTTTGAACCTTTTGGGCTTTCAGCAGTTTATGGGAGAGAGTGATCTGACCTCTGACCTCGTAGATGAAGGGAAGGAACTCATCCGCAGAGGTACAGAATTCATCCCTCAGTCTGTTGTTCCCTCTATCCCCCCTTTTTCTTCATTAAAACCCTTTTTCCTTTTACGTTTACGACGGTTAGCAGACGCTCTTATCCACAGTAGCGTACAGAAGAGCTTCTGCTGTGCGCTTAGAGAATGTAGCCCAGCTAGCATGAATACTGTAGAGTCTAAAGATACTTCTCCAGTCCCTGTTTGAAGACCATGAGGGCATCAGACAACCAGTTTCGTTCCACCACCTGGACTCCAGGAAGTCCAGGAGTTCCCTCTTGAAGGATGGTGAGCTGAGCTTGAAGGGCTCCAGGTGCAGATCGAGTTTTGACCACTGCTGTCAGGGAGGGAGGGGCTGGTCCATTTTTGGCTTTGAAGGCATCAGGGTTTTAAGTCTGATGCAGCTACAGGAAGCCAGTGAGGGGAGCACAGCAGTGCAGTGAACTTGGGAAGATTGAAGACGAGTCCAGCTGCTGCGTTCTGGATCTGCTGAAGGACCTGATGGTCCACATAGGACCAGCCAGGAGAGAGTTGCAGTAGTCAAGAGACAGAACGGTCACCTGAGTGGCCTCCCTACAGGTAAAGGCGCGATCCTCCAGATGTTGTAGGGGAGACACCACTGGTTTGCAACGCGAGGCTTTGTGCGGATCGTCGTACAGAATGACCACGTTGTTCTCTATGGTAAGATCGTGGTGAGGACCTGTAGCCCCAGGGATGCGTAGCAGCTTCGTCTGGCTGGGGTTCAGCTCCAGGTGAAGGGCTGCCATCCATGAAGAGACGGCATCAGCATAGCAGTGGTAGGAGAAGCCATGAGAATGAGTCTAAGGACAAAAGAGTAGAGGGCCCAGAACAGAGCTTTGAGGGACACCTGTGAAGATCTCTCTATTCTCCTTCTCCATCCCTCTTTCTCTCTTTCTCCGCTTTCTCATTCCTGCTGTGACTCAGTGTTGCTGTGTGCTGTGACGATATGTTACTGAAGTGTAAATGTTCCGCAGAGAGGAGGAAGAGACAGAGGAGTGAGGATGGAGAGAACAGACGGAGGGTAAATATCTCTTTCTTATCTCTCTATTTTCACCTATTTTAACAGTTTCAGTTCATCTTACATTCAGTAATGACTGCATGTTGTTGATTTATAGTATATAGTAGTTTACAGTAAAGATCTGTACTGTAAGTAGTTTACGGTAATGTTCTGTACTGTATGTTTGTGTTAGGAGTGGAGGGAGAAATACACGACTCGGAGCCAGAACTCGTACTCTGAGCTCAGAGAGAACAACGCCAGCAATGACCACAGGAGAGGTCACAGTGAGTGGGACATACTACATACTCACTGTCCACTTCATCAGCTCCACTGACCATATAGTTTCACTCTGTAGTTCTACAGTTACAGACTGTAGTCCATCTGTTTCTCTGATACTTTGTTAGCCTGTTCTTCAGTGGTCAGGACCCCCATGGACCCTCACAGAGCAGGTACTATTTGGGTGGTGGATCATTCTCAGCACTGCAGTAACACTGACGTGGTGGTGGTGTGTTAGTGTGTGTTGTGCTGGTACGAGTGGATCAGACACAGCAGTGCTGCTGGAGTTTTTAAACACTGTGTCCACTCACTGTCCACTCTATTAGACACTCCTACCTTGTCAGTCCGCCTTGTAGATGTAAAGTCAGAGACGATAGCTCATCTGCTGCTGCACAGTTTGTGTTGGTCATCCTCTAGTCCTTCATCAGTGGTCACAGGACGCTGCCCACAGGACACTGTTGGCTGGATATTTTTGGTTGGTGGACTATTCTCAGTCCAGCAGTGTCACTGAGGTGTTTAACAACTCCAGCAGCACTGCTGTGTCTGATCCACTCAGACCAGCACAACACACACTAACACACCACCACCACGTCAGTGTTACTGCAGTGCTGAGAATGATCCACCACCCAAATAGTACCTGCTCTGTGAGGGTCCATGGGGGTCCTGACCACTGAAGAACAGGCTAACAAAGTATCAGAGAAACAGATGGACTACAGTCTGTAACTGTAGAACTACAGAGTGAAGCTATACGGTCAGTGAAGCTGATGAAGTGGACAGTGTAGAAACAAGGAGGTGGGCTTAACGTGGCTGGTCGTTATAGATGCTCATGTATGTAATGCATGAGGGACGTATGTTTGACCCCATGTGCTCACGCTGTGTGTGTTTAGGTCAGTCCCGTAGAGAGCGGGGTGACCAGTCTGAGTTACTGCAGGATGTCGAGCCGCTGGACTTTAACGGAGACGATCCACAGGAAATGGAGGACAGGAGGTCAGTGTTTCAACCAATCAGCCACAGTCATACATTACTGATCAACTGGATCAATGTCCGTTATCTGCTTACTGTATATCTCTCTCTCTCTCTCTCTCTCTCTCTGTTTCTCTCTCTGTCTCTCTCCCTGTCTCTGTCTCTCTGTCTCTCTGTCTCTCTCTCTGTCTCTCTGTCTCTCTCTCTCAGCAGGTATGTGGGTGGACGTTATCTGTCCACCTCCAGCTCGCGGACGCGTATCTTTGATGATGTGTGAAAGTGAGGGATCATGAAGGAAAGAGAGAGAGAACGACAGAATTTGCACTTTTTCACCTCCTGCTGTTTTGTGAAGTGACCGACTGCCCAGTCCGGCCTGCCTCTCTGTGTGTGTGTGTGTGTGTGTGTGTGTGTTTCTAAACTGGTGTAATGTGTGGGTGTGGTCAGTAGGGGGCAATGAAGGGGACCACACTGTGTCTCTGTTGCCTAGCAACAGCAGCATCCTCTTAATTAGCAGCTTTCATCGTCAGTTACCCAGTGATGCTCTGAAATTCAGGACCCACAGTGTGTTTTGTGGCTGTTTGCGATGAGCCGAGTGTCCAGACGGCGCCGGCTCTGCGGGACTTTCTGAGTCCTGCTGTTTCGCTGTGTATCGAGTCCCGTTTACAGGTGATATCAGATCATTTTATTACACATCTTATTACTGTTACACAGCCACCTCCAACTGTAAACAAACAAGGCTTTGGTCCTCAGAAAGCGCACAGTGTGACCCCCCCCCAAACGAGGAGGCGGGTTCTGATGAATGTGTTTTGTGTTTTGTACTCTGAGCCGACTGATTAACGTATTTACAGACATGTTGCACTTAAACTCATAACTGCCCCATTTACAAACACAGCTACTGTAGTTTAAGCTATTTATAGTCTCACTGTTATTCCCTGTTATTACTTTATATTCTTTTCTCTTTTTATTCTTATCGATTGTGTTCATTTGAATGTGATGAAGCAGTTTAGTCTCCGGCCAGTAGGGGGAGCAGGAGGGTTTCATATTTATCGTGTTTGAGCTGTTAATGCATCACATACACAGTGCATCACGTCACTCAGCGTCCAGATGAGGAGGTTCTCTGAGCAGCCCAGGCTGTTCTTCATCTACAGGAGCGTCTGAGGGGGGTTTGAGGGGCGGAGCTGCCCACCGGCGTGACCTCACTGTCCTCACTGTTCTGTAACAGATCAGATTATATATATTTAGATCTGATCTTCTGCTCTGTTCCTCACTCTGTTACAGTGAAAATGAAGGGATTTAATTCTGTAAAACTGTGAACTGCTTTAATCTCATCCACCACAGCGGGGTCTGGCCTTCATGCAGTCGTGACCTTTGACCTTTGCGCCCCACGCTGACCTCCTAAGCCACCTGGGAAGATTCTAGAATCGTTTATAAAGCATTACGAAGTGTTATAACTGCTCTCCTGCAGCTGTGGCACTGGTTACTGTGTTTATCTTACTGACCTTATCTTTTATGTTGTTTTGTTTGTTTTTGGGGGTCTTTCGGTGCCTTGGTCAGTAACGGGGGTCTGACCGTGTCCCGGTTTCCTCTCTGAGTGTAGTTCATCATGGAGCTCCTCTCTAGAATCAGTGTGGAGGATCTTTAATGAGAGATCATTTCTGATTGATTTGTATTGATCTTTCTCTCCGGATTGAGACGTGGTTTGTTGTCTGTTTCTGGAAATACCTCAAATAAACACTTCCAGATATGATGTGTTTGTTTTATTAGCCAAAATTAACCGGTGAGGCCTTTGAACAGCGTCACACTGCCCTCTCAGGACCTGTGGTCTCCTTCAGAGAGAGTTTAATCCTCTACATTTACCTCACTGTCAGCACTGCAGTGTAGTGCTGGTGTCACTGGCTCGTGATCGCTCAGATGAGCCTTACAGATTAGCTTTGTTAATAACTAAACCAAAAACATGAGGATCAAAGCACTCAGTAAATATGTGACACCTTTTATATCTTTTTTAATGTTGACCAAACAAACTTGCAGTTTAACCTACAACACAGTTTAGAATAACACTGCTGTTATAAATGGTTATGAATGCTTTAACATTGGGTGATTAATCCTTGTTAGTCCATAAACACCTTAAAATCATGAATAAGCAGTTATAACACATGAATAAAGGTGTAACAGTGAGCCCTCAGATCTTCCTGTGTCTCCATCAAACCTGACATCCACCATGACTGTTCACTGTCAGCCTTTGTTCTATTTCTAAAAACATATTTGTTTATTAATGATTTTTAAAAGTGTTTATGACCTAATTAATAACTTAATTAGTGGTCTTATTATTAAGGGGTACAGCTTTTTTTGTAATATTTATGAATATAAACCTTTTCTGTTGATTGAAGTGGACAAAGTGTTCATTAATAGGTGAAATGTTGTGAAAACCTGCACTGGAAATGTTTTCTTTAGATAGAAAGACTGTCTAAATGGAAAGAACAGCTCTATATATCAGCTCAGAGAAACAGCAATAATAACAATAATAATAAACAGAATGTTATTATCAGCAGGTCTGGGTGAAGTCAGAGAAACCACAGCTACACAAACTGAAACAAACATGAAATCAGAGATGATAACGCAGGAGTTTTTACATATTAAACTAAGTTCAATGTGAAACAGAGCTTTTATGGTTATTTCTGCCTCAGAGTGAAACTCAAATTTCTGCTCTGAGGTTTCACTTTATTACACCTACGAGGCTCCTCAGGAATCCGAAACTCAGCAACAGCCAATCAGAGTGCAGAGTGGGTGGGAGGAGCAGCGTTACAGCCAATCACAGCACAGCGTGGGCGGGAGGTGTGGAGCTGTGACCGCTCAGCTTAAACCCTCTCTGTGTGGATTTACAGACTGTAAGATTGTTTCACTGGTGCACATTAATATTAGCTGCACTTCATTAGCAGTTCTGCTAACTGTGAAGTTACATTCTTACCTGCCTCAGGTAACGTTAGTTCATCTCAGAGGCAGTTCTGACTCTTTACTTTAAGCAATGACTATAATAAAATTAAAAAACGGTAAATGGGCTACAGTTAATGACCCGTCGCTGAAGAGCTGCCAGATCCCCGCAAATGGCATTTTATTCTACTTGTTATGATAATAAATACATTTAACTGAAAACCATACGAACAGGATTTAAAATAAATAAATACAGTGAATGCAAAGGTGTAAAAAGCAAATTACTGTTTAAAAATCCAGTTTGTTTTTTTCTTTATTCACTCTTTACAGTAAAACACACCTCTTTTCTTACCCTCATAGAGTGTCATCATCACGATATCATCATCAGCATAAACCCCTTCATCCAGAGAGGGTCACAGTAGCAGTTGGGAATGCAGAGAATCCCAGACAACCCTGTCCCCCGCAACTTCCTCCAGCTGATTCCGGAGGACCGTCAGTGTGGAGGAGTAGCAGCTCTACTCTGAGCTCCTCACCCTGTCAGTAGAGTGTAGCCCCCCACCCTGAGATGAGGCTCATATCCGCTCCTTGTATCTTCTTTCGGTCATCACGCACAGCTCATGACCACAGGTGAGGGTGGGGCTGTAGACCGACCAGTAAACAGAGAGCTTTGCCTTATGGCTCAGCTCCCTCTTCACCACTACTACAATCCCTCTTTCTATCACTGTGAACGAGATCCTGAGATGCTTAAACTCCTCCTCCTGGGGCAGGTATTCTCCCCTTCACCTGGAGTGGGCATGCCATCCTTTGCTGGGCTGTCCAGAACTTCCTTAAAGCCACCCACAGTCTTTTTCCATGGCCTTTCCAAACTCTTCCCATGTTCTAGATTTTGCTTCAGCCACTGCGGCTGCTGCACTTTTCGCTCATCAGTACCTACGTGCTGAGTTGGGCGTCCTCTTGGCCATCCAGTCCCTAAAGGCCTCCTTCTCCTTTTTCCAATTTAAACGTTAAAGATTCAGTGTCTCTGTTAAATGAAGCTCAGTGTTAGCTGGTCACTAATAGCCACTGATCTGCTCTGCATTCAGTGACAGTATTAAGCAGGATGTGTTAGCTGGGTTGGAAACAGGCGGTGAGGTTCAGTGTCCTGTCTTTAAAACTGAGCCTTGATTGAGGCTGACAGCATCTCCCAGCCACTGCTTACCGCTTTCCTGCAGATCTGTTTCCGACAGTCACCCGACCCCAACACACCGTACGAAACAGAGCTCTGTGGTGTGAGCCTGGCGTGGAGTCAGCCAGTCCTATCTGCAAATAATCATATCTTCACATAGACTGTCCCAGATATATCATTACTGACACACTGTTGCTATTACTGTCATTTATATCGTATTTATTGTTTTTATTGTTATTAGTGTGTGGGCCTGTTTGTGTCCACAGATCTGTGTTATTAGAAGCAGCCCATCAGCAGAACGGCAGACAAGAGGCCGAAGCAGGACATCAGGGATTTTTTTAAAACCCAGAAGGTAAAATGTGAATAAGAGAAACTGTAAATTCAGTGATGTAGCGACTGACTCATTATACACTCTGTTACCTGATGTGTGTGTGTCAGGGTCAGGTTTCAGACACAGCCTCCAATACGCACATTAGTGTAATCATATCACAGTCGGGAGGCTCGTCAGTGTGGCCTCGTCTTCAATGTTTGAATAAGTCACTTTGTGTGAACTGTGAGTGACTCCTAAAGTGTATAAACATTGCTCCTGTTTCCGTGTAGAAATAGTCACATAACCCTTTAAATACAAAGGAGATCATGCAGTCTAATCTTTGATCCAGCAGATGATGAAGGTAGAAGAAGATCAGTGCCAAGGAAAGGACACCATGCGGCCGGTAGGTCATACAGACTCCACTCGCTCACCCTGATCCTGCATTAGTTTAATTCCCAGATTTATAACTCTGGTTGTTTTTTCTTTATTAACAGAAAACTGAGAACAGCAGACATGCATTCAGATTCCGCTATCAGTTTAAAAAATATGAAGTGACCTGTGATGCGTCTATGACCGTGCTGGAGGCGCTTCTCTCAAACAAAAACTTTAAAGGCATTTATAAAACGAATAAGGGAAAGGAGACGGTCATCCAGAGAGAGAAAGTGCCGAGAGGTGCTGTCCCCACAGATTTCCCCTGCTGCCTGATCGATGATGATGAGCTTCTGGACATAAAATTCATCAAATCTAGTGGAAACAGCTGTTCAGAGAATAAACCAGTCCTCCGTTCACTGATGAACAGCACTGAGAACTTCATTGTGTTTAACATCAAAACAAGAGGCGGCCGCACTGTGAAAAGGCTGATGAAGAACCAGGAACTGAAGCAGGTGGTGGATGATGTTTGCATGTTTGCATTAAAAGGAGAAAAAGTGAAGGAGGCTCTTCGGCGTGACGGGCGATTTAGCAGGGTGATTTTTCGCAAACACTGTGGACTCTCTGAGCTGGGGTCTGAGATCATCACTGATATGTCCAACACTGTTGACCGTCTGGATGGAAAGCATTTCAAAGTGATTGTTATTGACAAGCAGCCAGCCGGCCAGGAGTCCAGCCAGGAGTCCAGTCAGGAGTTTGATATGATGAAGAATGAATCTGGTGAAAATATCCCCAGTTCTCCCACACCTGGCAATCTCAGCCAGGACTCTGCTAACCCTCAACAGCAGAACCGTCAGCCCACCGAGAAAGAAGACAAGAAAACATATCCGAAAAGAATCCAGGTCAAGGAAATCCCAAACACAGAGGAGATCCTGAATCTTCTGCGGGGTCAGTTTGAAGGTTTGCAGAAGCAGCTGAAGGAGCGAGAGAGTCTCACTAAGCCTGCTGAGGTGCAGAAGTTCTTCAGAGAAGAGTTTGATAAAAGTGCTCAGAGCTTCTCGGAGGTGAAGAGAGTGAGACAGCTGACGAAGATTTCTGACTCTGTCTGTCAGATCCGTGTAGATGATTCTGCATGTGGAACCGGATTTCTGCTGTTTGACAGGTTCATACTCACTAACGCACATGTTATTGGAGACTTTGACCCGTTCTCACGCAGGCTGCACCGCCCCATCACTGCTGTGTTCGACTATGAGGATTTGGACACAGCGAACAAACTGCCGGTGAAGGAGAACCTTGTTGCCTACTTTTACGGTAAGGATGAAAAGGGGGAACATCTGGACTTCACTCTGCTGGAACTGAGTGATGATGCAGAGCTTCCTAGTTGTCCGGAATTGCTTAGCAGGTACAGTCCTCCTCCCACTAGAGGTGGGATCTGCATAATTGGACACCCTGGGGGTGGAGTCAAGAGAATGGACCCCTGTTTCATCATTGAAAAAGACGAAGCTCTAAATGCAGCAGACGAGCACCTGGCTGAGAACAGCCACTTCTTTCACGTCATAACACAGCAGTGTTTGGCAGAGAAATGGGAATACCATTATTCCCAGATCAGTTATGATTCCTGTTTCTTCCATGGATCCTCCGGCTCACCGGTCTTTAATGATCACTGCGAGCTGATTGGTATCCACACTGGTGGCTACGTTTACAAAGGAAAAGGAGACAAAACCAGGAGTGTGATGGAATACGCTTTTCCCATGTTCCCCATCCTGGTGTGCATCGTCAGACAGTGCAGGCAGAACGGCAGATCTGATATTGTTCAGTACTTTGAGGATCAAAACAACATGAAACATGTGCTTCAGGTGGCGAATGAGCAGAATCAGGGAAATCAGCAGGTTAGTTAAGGAGCGATGATCAGATTATAACTGCCCAACACCTTCAAGATCATTCTAACTGCTCCAGTCAGGAATTTTATCACCTCTTTCATTGGGTACTATCAAGTATATGACGAAGTACACCAGCACAGACTGCCAGGGCTTCTCCTTTTGTCCTTTAACTTAAGTGCCTTTGGTTGTTGAAAGCAGAAGATGTATTTGTGAGACATGTGATCACATAAATATGTTCATGCTTGTGTGTAAAACAGATTAACCAGTAAGTTGTAGATCAATTTTTTGACAGTTTAAGTTCCTACAACATGTATGCATGTATCATATAATAAAAACCTGATTTTATTAGATGAGTTTTACATGAACTTCATTTCATTTGGTTCTGAGAACTGTCACAGACGAACAGGATTCATGAACTGTGACTGCACTGATGTTGTCCAGATATTTGGGTGGTGGGTTATTCTCAGCACAAGAGTCACACAGACATGGTAGTGTGGGTGGTGCTGGTACTTTTCCTTGCTAGGTTAAGTGTGGACCACCAAATACAACCCCATATCCAAAAAAGTTGGGACGCTGTGCAAAATGTAAATAAAAACAAAATGCAATGATGTGCAAATAATTTAAACCTTATTTTAATTGAAAATAGTACAAAGACAACATATCAAATGTTGAAACTGAAAAATGTTATCATTTTTTGAAAAATATTTGCTCATTTTGAATTTGATGCCAACAACACGTTCCAAAAAAGTTGGGACGGGAGCAACAAAAGGCTGGTAAAGTTGTGTAATGCTACAAAAAACACCTGGTGGTTGATTGGCAACAGGTCAATAACATGATTGGGTATAAAAAGTATCCCAGAGAGTCTGAGTCTTTCAGAAGTAAAGATGAGGAGGGGTTCACCACTCTGTGAAAAAACTTTTGCTTTTCATCATCTACAGTACATAATATCATTAAAAGATTCAGCAAATCTGGAGAAGTCTCTTTATTTAAGGGACAAGGCCAAAAACCAAAAGGCAGACATTAATTTTGAATGATATATCCATCAAGACGACGTCTTTTTCAGGGAAGACCTTGCTTATTTCAGTAAGACAGTGTCAAACCATATTCTGCATATGTTACAGCAGCATGGCTCTGTAGTAAAAAGGTCAGGCCACTAAACTGACCTGCCTGCAGTCCAGATCTGTCACCCACTACATACCCAGCCATCACCATGTCTTGAGATGTCTTAAGACTTGTCTAAAGACACATTATGAAGACGTCTTAGGACATCTTGAGGCATGTCTTAAGACATGAAGACATGTCTTTAAGACGTGTCTATAGACACGGATCTTAAGATGTCTTGGCAATAATAACATCTCAAGACGTCTCAAGATGTAGGATGCATAATACGTATTTTTAAATTTTACCTACATTTTTTAAAATAAATCTTTTACTTTTAAATATTTTAAGGAATTTTAAAATGTAACATTATTTATAGCTAAAATTATAGTAATTATTTTTTTTTTCATTTTTTTGTTCTATGTAGGATGCATAATGGTATCATTTATTTTAATATATTGCATATCATTTTATAAACATACAAACATTACATACATTAGTACATACTACATTTATACATTTCAGAACAAATTTAACAACAAAAGTAATAATAATAATAATAATAATAATAATAGGCACATGGTTCCCAGTCTGTAGCTTTCTCTACAATAAGCCATTTTATATGAAACCACTAAATGATTTTGTTTACATCGCAATGACAGAATTATGCCAAGTTTAGAAAAATGTGGAATTCTCCTTTAAATGTTTCTGTTGCATTAGAAAAGTTTATGGAATCAGTGATATGATGAAAGTTTATTTGTGCGTTCATACCATGCCTTCAACATGGTGGTAGTATGAGGGAAGACTCTTATGCAACTATTTTGTAATACAGTGTTGCAGCAAAATTTAAAAATTTAATTCAGTTCTTTTAAATACCTTTTTATAGTAATTAACCCTTAATGTTTTAAAAATGTGGTAAAATGTGTTAAATACATTTTTTTACAGACTATTTTACAGTTGCTTCATTTTTTAATGAAGGTATCATTTTATCAACTTTTAAAATAATAATAATAAGAAGGAGAACAAAGAACATTAATAAGTATGCATAAATTACAGTAAAGTAATTTAAAGGGGTATGGAAAATCACTATTTTGCAGTTTTGTATTTCCTTGTTAATCTGTTAAAAATTCAGAATACTTCTACATTCAAATAATTTACTCTGCAATCCAAAGCATAGCCCATGAAAAAGCTCCCACATAGCTTTCAAAAATATAATTACAGCTATTGTTTATTGTTTTTACAACTGTGTATATGCACAGTACAATAGCGTCATCACACTTGATATGTTCTACAGATGGAGAAAAACATGTTAACTGACTTTGTGTAGAAATTTGAAATATACTGCAATAAATACTCAGTTCCACAAACCAATGAATCTGATTTTAAGGTCTGCTGTTATTCCGTATATAAGTTATGCTGAGGTTATTAACAATATAGTACTATGAACAATTATAAATGATAGGAAACAATTTTAAGACAAATTAATATGGACTAAAAAGAAAAACTGACCAACAGAGTAATACAGAGGTCTGAACCCCAGCAGCACTCATAACATACCTGAGCCAGATAATGATCAGCTGTCAAACAATTAATACCAGACTCAGATGTGCTGGGAGCTGGAATAGAGTCAAGCTGTGGACATTTTATGTGGACATATGTGGACACAGGAAACAGGACACAGATAACTCAGTGTGCATATGTCCATGCCGTAATGCCTGAACACTAACATTACTGATATCACACTGCTAATGTTACCGATCTCTCCTTTTAGAGTTAAATCCGTGATGAGTGAGAGAACTGTCAGATTCACTGCCCATCGCTTCTTCCTCTGTTTTTTCTCAGTGTTGGTCTTTTTGTCAGAGATATGAGGAAAATGCATCTGTTGAAAAATCAATTTTAAGACAATAAATTTGAAGTTACTTTTGGATCTGCATACACAAGCAGGCTGAATTTAAAGAGGACCTGTTATGCTAATTTCCAATGTTCATAAATTTATTATTGGGGTCGACTATAATACATTTACATGCTTCAGTGTTCCAGAAACACATTATTTTTCTCATACTGTAAATCTCTACTCACCCTCTGTCTGAAACGCTCTGTCAGAGCTCCTGTGTCTTTAAGCCCCTCCTTCCTGATGAGCCCAGTATGCTCAGATTAGTTAGCTCGCTCACTTGGCTCTGACTGATCAAGCACCAGAGCGGTTCCGCCAATACTCGGGCTCCGGTAGATGCGTTGCGTTGTGTGAGGGCGTGCCAAGCTCGCTGGTAGGTGGGCAATAAGGATTGTGATATGGGATTACATCATCTTGTAACAAAGGAAAAGGGCTGGGGAACTCCAGCCCTCAGGCAGCTGAGAAAAGTGGTTTCTGTGGGAAAGAGTTTCTCCCTCTGGCAGATACTTTCAGCTTTGTATCTTACACACACAAAAAGCTACATAACACAGTAAATAAAAGGGAAAGCATTATATATTCCCTTTATAAGTAGAATATAATGTACAGTATACATAATTTTACTCATCTAAAATCAACTCAGGCATTTAGTACACAAAGAAATGTGATGTGTCTTTCATTTGGAGCGCGTGCTAAGCGAGATCTGACGCAGCCGCGAGGCGTAAACGGACACGCCGCTTAGCCGCTAGCTAGCTAACTACATACGCTAACCTACCGCTGGTGTCTTCACTCGGCAGATCAACCCAGAAATACAGAAACAAATGTTTACTCCAGCTGACTGTCAGCGAGGCTGCTCATCTCATTTTGTCACTACTCACCTTTTAAAAGCAGACTCTGACCGCTGCAGCCGGGACTCCAGTCGTAAGACCAGTCACCACTCCACTCGGTCCAGTCAGCTAGTTAGCGTTAGCTAACTACGCAGCTGAAAATCCTCGTTTCTGGGAGCTGAAAGCGTCACCCGGCAGGCGGCGCTGTCTTAGTAAGGAGTGTAAGAGACGGTCTTATCAGGTTTAACACTCGCTAAACAAACTCCCGCTCACTGTAACGGCTGTAACGGCCGCGTTTGGCTTTAAACGGAGGAACGGCGGAGAGCGCTCGCGCTTCAAAACCGAACGTCCAAGCGGCGGAGTCGCACGCTCTGATTGGTCTAAACTCCCGCCAGTCTTTTTTTGTTTGTCCTCCCATAGATCTTTTTTTCTGGTTCGCACGGCTCTGCTGTACTGAATGAACTGAGCTGCTTTGTTTTTGTTTTTGTTTGTTTGTTTTTTTAATCTAGACACAGAATAGAAAACTGCAAACCCTTCAAATACATAAGACAGCTGTGCAGCATTATCATACAGCATCACTGGAGGCCATGTCTTAATATATTAAAGTCAAAGTATGAAGTTGGACATTTAAACAAAAATCTATTATGTAATTTTACGTGGTGAAACAATACAGGTCTTTTATATTACTACTCAAATACATTTGTTTATTATTGTTCGTGTTTTCCAAATACTGGAGATAATAATTTTGAAAGTTATACAAATTGTTTTATCTATTCTTCTATCCTATCTATAGTTTTGTTTATCTATGTGTAAATACTGTTCTCTGCATAATTTGTGGAACTCGCACTCAAGTTTTTCACTCACCTGTGTCCCTGTACTCTTGTGATGTGACAATAAATCTGATTTGATTTGATTTAAAAGTCTAACTGTGGGCAGCCCTGATCTGCTTAAGAAAATAAACAGAAGTGTAGATGATGAAGAGAGTGAACCAAGGGCTTTTTCTGCATTACGTTTTGGTGGTATGAGAGCTCTAAAGTACTCAGGTTAGCTGTTAAGTACATTTACTTCCTATTAGCTCAAAGTTGTTTTATCTTGGTTCCTAGCTTGTTGTCTCTGGTTACAGTTGTACATTTGAAAATAGATCAATGTTGTTTTAATCATAGCATGTTTTCTGCAAATGAGCAAAAGGCTGTGACTGACTGTGATTATCTCCTTTGGTAAATGTTACAAATTAAAAGTTATTCATGAACTTCAATGATATAAGGAAATGAGTTTGAACATTTTAAGGTAAGGTAAATGGTTTAAGAATTGATTTTTTCTTTTGCTATTTTGCCACTGTAAACACATTTCTGCAATAATCAAAAAACAAAACATACAAAAAAAAAGAATCACAAAAGTACAGCAAGAAAAACCTCAGTGAATGTTCTTTTAGTAATATCACACAAAAACCATAAGATTACAGCAGGCTGTTTCTTGAGGACATACTTATATTCTCTCTTATATAGTTATATTCTCATATTGTACATTAGGCAGTGCTGTGGTAATCCTGGTAATCCTCAGTAGTAATGTTCAGTCTGGCAGTACCACAGGAATACCACACTCATACCACAGGACCTTTTGTAATGGACCACTCTTTGGTCTCAACTGAACTGTCTTAAGACACAACATCTCTATGTCTTAAGACAAAGTGATGTCTTAAGTCATGCCTCGTCTTCAAGACACACAAAATAATTACTTCTTTGTCTTAAGACGTTAACTTTCATGTCTCAAGACAAAGACAGTGTCTTCACTCATACGTCTTAAGACGTTCTTGAGACGTCTTGGCATAAAAAAAATGTCTCAAGACATCTTATAAATACTGTCAAGACATCTTAAGACATCTTAAGACACAGTGACAGCTGAGTATGTAGAAACATAAGGCATTTTATGAAACGGGAAAAACGACAAATGAGCCCCTGAACTGATGAGCAGCTGAAATCCTTTATCGAACAACAACAGGAAAACATTTCACTTTCAGAACTACAGCAGTGTCTCCTCAGCTCCCAAACACTTACAGAGTGCTGTTAAAGCCCCCGTCCCAACTTTTTTGGAACGTGTTGTCGGCATGAAATTCAAAATGGGCATATATTTTTCAAAAAACAATAAATTTCTCAGTTTCAACATTTGATATGTTGCCTTTTTTTTAAATATGGTTTACATGATTTGCACATGATTGCATTCTATTTTTATTTACATTCTGCACAGCGTCCCAACTTTTGTGGCAATGGGTTGTATATCCAGACAAGAGTGGCCCTGTGGTCAGAAATAGACTATTGATGAAGGACCAGAGCAAGGGTGCACAACTCAGATCAGACACACCTGATTCAACTCATACATCAATTGCAAGGTTTAGGGGATGTGTTTGAGTGAAAGAACTACCAAACTGTGCTGGACACCAGCCCTCCTGAACTGGAGTTGTGCACCCCTGGACTACAGAATGGCTTAATTCGTGGCATGTATGAATGTGTGTATTTAAAAAAAAACACACAACAGTCACAAAGCAGCTTTACAGAAAATCTGTGTCCAAAAACCAACTCGTTCAGAGCAAGAGAAAGAAAACTGGAAAGGAACCAAAACTAAAAAGAGAAATCCCATCCTCCTCTGGTCAACACCAGGTAGCAAAACAACAGGTGAGGCTTTCTGCACAGTACTAGACAGCATGAAGGTCCATGGTGGTCACACTGGTCCAGATGGTGGGTGAGCAAGGGGCTTGCTGCTTCTTTTTCTAAGCAGAACATGGCTTCTCCTGACTCTTCCTCTGTGCAACACCACATTGGTGCTCAGAAATGGGATGTTGCCGCTGAGATACAAGAACTCCAGCAGAGGATCAAAGAACTCTCTGAGAAAAAAAGAAAACAATGTGGTAAAAGAGAAGCCAATGGCGGGGAAGGTGGCAGCGTGATGGTCTGTGGAAGAAGCAGTGTAATGGCTGGCGAGAGAGGTGCTGTCCATCAGGTAACTGCTCCCAGTCAGGCAAAGGCAGAAAGGGGGGTGGGAGAGCATGCTGGCGGCAGACTTGAGCACCAGGCTTACCTCACATTTGGGGGAGGTGATGAGTGAGATAGCCCCCCGGCAAGCTACAGCAGCATGGATAGAGTGTTGGCAGTGTAGAAAAAGAGGGTATCTTCTGGTTCTCTGATGGATTCTGTTGTGTTCTAGTGTCCTAGCTGATCTTAGAGTCCTCAGTCCTCCAGTAGGTCAGCAGCTCACAGGTAGCCATGCAAAATGTTTCCATGGAAATCACGTCACAGTGTTGAGGAACATCTGCATTCCACAAGAGGTTTTGTTGTTTGTTTGATTGTCAGTGATACACACGTGTAGGTCGCTGTGCCCTGGCAGTCAAAGGTGGTGTGACAAACCAGATCCTCCAGTGTCGAGCTGGTTGAGTCAGTGCTGCACCTCCCACATGTCCAGGATCAGGACTATAGGACTCTTCTGAGAGACATAGAGAGGGAAAGACCTGCAGAAGACAAACAGAGAACCAATTAGAAACCCTTATAATCTACACACCAGCCAATCAGAAGCCCCATAAAATTCACACCAGCCACACAAACACACCAGAAGCTTCCTTTCAGCCTTCCTTTCAGTCAGAAAACCCATGTTCTTCACAGCAGCCAATATAAAACCCATAGCCTTCAGATTGGCCAATCAGGAGCCGATAATCTTCACTCCAGCCAATCAGAAGACTCACCTGTTTGTAAAGGTTTGATGTGGATGGGCTGGAAGCCCCCAGTGATGCTGGAGGAGTTGATGATGTTGGAGCTGAAGAGGTTGTGATATCTGCAGTAGAGCAGCATGGCCAGAGGAACCAGCAGGAACATCACAGTCAGTAGAACACCCACACACACCAACACACCATCCAGCCCTGGAGCTGTGACACACACAGAAACACAGGTGGAGATTTATCTAATACAGACCTGGCTGATCAACCTGGAGATCCACCACCCTGCAGACCTCCAGCACTGATCTAACACACTGATCCAGCTAATGAAGACCTTCAGGAGCATCTCAGTATTAGAGATGCTGGAACTGAACTCTAACCAAAACACTGTATAGAAATATCAGCATTTCACTAGGATCTCCCTAAAGCAGCCTGAATACTTCCCAGGCAGCTGAAGCTATTTCAGTTCTTTATTGATCTGGTCTTGGAGAAGCCCAGTCCTGCAGACTTATGTGTTCTCCTGCTCTAACACCCTCACTTCAGCTCATTAAAGGTTTGTTAAAGGTCATTGGTGGATCAGGTGCGTTAGAGTGGAAACAACATCAAACTGAAAACCCACAGAACTGGACCAATGCAGGTAGATGGGGTTTCCTAAAACTTTCCATAAATCCGGGAGGGGCGTGGAGGAGGGGCGGAGCTGCGTGTTACATGAGATCATGCTGAACCAGTTTGGGCCAGCATGTTTATAGTCATGTTTTTCTCAGTTACCTGTCAGAGAGACCAGAGAGAGACAAGAGACACTGAGACACAGAGTTTAACTGGAGAAGAAAACCCATGCTCGATTCAAGACTTGGCACTGGAGAAGGCTTATCAGGTGAAGGTGCAGTGCATTCATGGGGACATTCGCAATTATCCGCTCGTGCCAATGGGGTCCCCCTATCCTCATTTCAGTATTATTAAAGATAAGTTGTATAGAGTCACGCAGGACACTCAAACAGCAGTGACCACACACTTGTTAGTTCCAAGAATGGGGATGTATGCAGGTGGTGCATCATGCCATGAATGTCAGCTCGAAAATCTGCCATCTCAAAAGTGCCATTGCACCCATTGCCTTTAATCAAAGTTCCCTAATGAGATGCTAACTGACCAGGGCACTACTTTCATTTCATGCACTTTACATGAACTCTGAATTCTTTGGCATTAAATCAATTCTTACCAGTGTTTATCATCCCCAAACAGATGGACTGGGGCAAGCCTAAACAGGGTTCTCCCTTTTTGACTTATTACATAATAAGATATACCACCTTAACCTCCTAAAACCATGGAGTTAGGTGGTCCCTGTTTCTCTGGTGACAGTGGATCCGGAGAGAACTGAGTGAGACTGGAGGTCCCCACAAAACTTGATCATACTCTGGTTTCATGTGGTGACCAGCTCTCCCCGTCCCAGAGAATAGAAGTTGCCAGGTTGCAGATGGAATTTCTGCCTGTGCAGCTGTTCTTATCACTTAGATGAACATGAAAAAAATTGCTTCAAGATGACATCAAGGCTATGCCTGACATGGGGTCAGTTGAGTAGTCACACAGAGACTGGTGCAGTCCCATGGTGCTTGTCCCCAAGCCCGATTGCTTGGGTCTGTGGGGACTACAGAAAGGTGAAGTTGTCTAAATTTAACACCTAGCCAATGCCACATATTGATGAACTGCTCGATTGGTTAGGTGCTGCCCGCTTTTTATTTGTCACTGGATTAAACCAAGAGATATTGGCAGATCCTATTGACTCTGGAATCCTGTGAAAAAAAACTGTCGTTTTCACACCATTTGGGTACACCAATTTATCTGGGATGTTTGGAGTTCCAGCTCTGTTTCAGCAGCTCATGGACAGAATTCTCTATCTTCACTGTACATATGCCGCTGCCTACTTGGATGACATAATCATTTACAGTAATGATTGGCAGTGGTACATGCAGCATTTGAGGGCTGTCTTGAGATCACTGACATGGGCTGGACTCACGGCCAACCCGAAGAATTGCAATTGGGTGCGTGGAGGTACGGTATATGGGCTTCCACTTGGGTCATGGACAGGTGCGTCCCTAAATTTACAAGACATTTTCTGCCTGCACGAAACCAAAGACCAAAAAGGAGGTGAGACAGTTTCTGAGGCTGGCTGGCGATTATAGTAGATTTATACCTAAAAACTCGGACATCACCAGCCCGCTGACTGATCTTAGTAATTAGGGAGCCCCAGAACTGGTTCTTTGGACGGAGCAGTGCCAACAGCTTTTAACCAAGTTAAAGCAGTTCTCTCCCTTTTGTTCTGCAGACTGATACACTGGACTTTCACCCTCTTTTGTGACTACGTTCCCCTCCAGTGACTCCACCGCATGATAGAAGCTAACGCAAGAATCACCTGTTTTTCTAAGTAGAATGTCCGAGAGACCAGAGAGAGACGAGAGGCGCTCAGAGTCTAACTGGAGAATGAAACTGAACATCGAAGACTGAAGAACTACTTAAGTTATTTCTATGCTGAAAGAGCTATTCATTTTGTTTATGTAAAAATGACAAAGAGCACTACGTCTCCAAAATCCTCCTTCCCATGTCCTCAGTCCCCAGGGCCGAAGCAAGGGTTGTTACACGTTAAAAAAAGAAAAAAAACAAGAAAACCAAATATACTATAATTGATCCCTTTCACATTAGTGCAGTGCGGGTGGGTTTCTGGGTTGGACTTAGGGGTGGAGTGTGTGTTACCTGGGTGATGGGCGATGCAGATGGGTTTCTGGGTTGTAGGTGGGTTTAGATGTGGAGTAAGTGTTACCTGGGCAGTGGATAGTGCAGGAGAGTTTCTGTACTGGGAATCCATTACAGAGTGAGCCATTATTGAGAGGAGCCGGATTGGTGCAGCTGCGTGTCCGTCTCTGAAAGCCCCACCCACAAACACCACTACACACTGACCACTCTGTCCACCTGGACCAGCCACCGTTCACTATGGCAACATACAAACACGCAGGTGGTTTCTGACGCTGTATGACACACTGATATCTATAAACATGGACTAAACTGTAGTTTTGTTGATTTTTATACAGGGAGGGATTCACTCGAAAGAGGCCCCGATTATTCTGTAGTAACTCTCGCTAAGACGAAGCAGCCTGAACGAACCAACATGCAATGTGCTCCTCAGTATATGGAGCTTCGAACAAGCTGGGATGCCCGTGCGTCGGAGCGATGAGGTAGGCGCTGGACAGCCGTCGCAACAGTTAAGCTCCGTTTGCAACTTTCGGCTGCAGACCCCCCTCCCCTTTATGTGTCAGATTAATTCATCATAACGGGAGTTACAGCAGAATATTTGGGGCCTCTTTCGAGTGAATCTCCCTGTAGATAACAGTACCGCATATATTTAAAGTAAGCTAATTTTTTTTTTGCTAAACAATCATTTTAAAGGAATTTTGTAATCTGTAACCTAATAACGAGACAAAGAGTAGCATTATTTAGTTACCATAGACCGTAATGGTTGCCATGGCGCTGCATCTCCTAGCGACAATGTTGTAAGCGATGCAGGTGTAGTTAGCCGTGTCAGACAGTCTGACCTGTTTGATGATCAGGTTGTGATCAGTAGTGATGTAGAAATTGCGATCAGCTGCTGGATCAATAACGTCCTGATTCTTCAACCACTCCACCTACAGGACACACAGAGAATTACACCCAGAGTTAACCCTTTCAGCACTCACTCTTCAACCACTCCACCTACAGGATGTACAGAGAATTACACCCAGAGTTAAACCTTTCAGCACTCACTCTTCAACCACTCCATGTACTGGACATAGAAACAGTTACACCTGTGTAATAAGAATAATAATAATAAAAACAGTAAAAAATTGTTGTAACAGTGCGTTTATAGATGTAATGATTTTGTGCCAGTATGATTTGGGGTTAGACTCCATTAATCTGAAATACAATGATGATCAGATTTTGTATATGCAGATATTAAGTTAAAATAAATACCAGCACACCAGCGCTAATAACATACTACTGCTAACGTGTGAGTACCTGAGCAGGTGGGATCCCCTCAGGTGGGCGACACTGCAGCAGCACTTCCTGATTCAGAGCTACGTTCTGCCCTAGCGGCTCCACCTTAAATACCTTCTTCAAATCTACAGAGAAAGAGAGAAAAGAGAAAAAGAGTGAGTCCTGCTCACTCCATTAATGGACTAGAAGTAGTCTTAAATCCTAATCCAAAACCCCTTAAACTTAAACTCAGGTAAACCCATGTAAACCCTAAACTCTAAACCTAAACCCTCCCCCTCTGACTTTTCCTCTCAGTAATTAAGGTCTCTATTTGGTCTCGGTTCCACTGTAAAAGGTTCTGTTGCTGGTTACTCACAGGCGATGTGGACGTGAGCTTTGCGGCTCTTTGTGGTTCCAGAGGAGCTCCAGGCCACACACTGACACCAGAACTCCTCCAACCTGAACACCTCCTCCACCTGCTGTCTGTAGACCTCTATACGCACCTCCTTCACCATCAGACCTGAAAACAACACATACACTCATCTAAACATCATCATCATCATCATCATCATCATCACCTCCTCCACCTGCTGTCTGTAGACTTCTATATGCACTTCCTTCACCATCAGACCTGAAAACAACACATACAGTCACCTATACATCTTCATCATCATCATCTCCTCCACCTGCTGTCTGTAGACCTCTATATGCACCTCCTTCACCATCAGACCTGAAAACAACACATACACTCATCTATACATCTTCTTCATCATCATCATCATCTCCTCCACCTGCTGTCTGTAGACCTCTATACGCACCTCCTTCATCCTCAGACCTGAAAACAACACATACACTCATCTATACATCTTCTTCATCATCATCATCATCTCCTCCACCTGCTGTCTGTAGACCTCTATACGCACCTCCTTCACCATCAGACCTGAAAACAACACATACACTCATCTATACATCATCATCATCATCATCATCATCATCTCCTCCACCTGCTGTCTGTAGACCTCTATACGCACCTCCTTCACCATCAGACCTGAAAACAACACATACACTCATCTACACATCATCATCATCATCATCATCATCATCTCCTCCACCTGCTGTCTGTAGACCTCTATACGCACCTCCTTCACCATCAGACCTGAAAACAACACATACACTCATCTAAACATCATCATCATCATCTCCTCCACCTGCTGTCTGTAGACCTCTATACGCACCTCCTTCACCATCAGACCTGAAAACAACACATACACTCATCTACACATCATCATCATCATCATTATCATCATCTCCTCCTCCACCTGCTGTCTGTAGACCTCTATACGCACCTCCTTCACCATCAGACCTGAAAACAATACATACACTCATCTATACATCTTCATCATCATCATCATCATCACCTCCTCCACCTGCTGTCTGTAGACCTCTATACGCACCTCCTTCACCATCAGACCTGAAAACAACACATACACTCATCTATACATCATCATCATCATCATCATCATCATCACCTCCTCCACCTGCTGTCTGTAGACCTCTATACGCACCTCCTTCACCATCAGACCTGAAAATAACACGTACGCTCTATATATACACTTGTGTGTAAATGTCTGTGCACCCCTGGTTAAATTCCATGTATTGTTGATGTTCTGAGTGTAAATAAGTTACAGATGCTCTACAGAGACTCACTACTGTACACTGTAATACACACTCACTGTTTATTTACTGAATATATTGTACAGAATGTGGCCTGTGCCAAAACGACGGCGTATCTTATATTTTGTGTGTTATTCTTTTCCAGTATGCTAAGTATAAACAGGGCGCTGTTACTTTCAGCTGACAGGACTGGAGCTGTTAATGAGACGAGGAGTCGTTTAATCCAGAGTTAAACCAGGAATGATGTAGGAGACTCATTACTGTCTGATCACGCTGTGCTGCGTCTGTTCTGACTGGCTTGATCAGTAACAAAGAGAATATCAGCATCTTCTCACCTGAGCTGTGTTCCACTCTCGCCTGCGTGCTGTGCTCCCTCTGGTGGACCCACTCTCCATTACACCTGAAGTAAATCTGATTGGCTGGTGTGGCTCTACAGCTCAGACTGACCGCCTGGTTTTTGATGATGTAAGCATCCTCTGGTTCCTGCAGAAAACGGGGGAGGGGCTCGAGGGGGTCAGAGGGGAACGCGCCTGGCAGCAACAGGAAGTCATCATCACCTGCACACGCATACGCACAGCATTAACCAGGGCTGCAACAATTAATCAACGAAGCTGATTAGTCATCAATCAATTATGACAAAAAAAGTGAAAAATTTTAATACATTCTGACAGACTGTAATACACTACAGGAGGTGTAGGGGGCGATATGGCTTCTACTGTTTCATTTAAAAAGCTCTATAATGTTCATATGATCCACACAGTCACTCTGACAGACTGTAATACACTACAGGAAGCGTAGGGGGCGATATGGCTTCTACTGTTTCATTTAAAAAGCTCTATAATGTTCATATGATCCACACAGTCACTCTGACAGACTGTAATACACTACAGGAGGTGTAGGGGGCGATATGGCTTCTACTGTTTCATTTAAAAAGCTCTATAATGTTCATATGATCCACACAGTCACTCTGACAGACTGTAATACACTACAGGAAGTGTAGGGGGCGATACGACTTTTAGCTCACTGTATCAATAACGCATTAAATATGAAAAACACAGTAGTTTTATGTACAGTAGAGCTGAGCTAATAGAGCAGAGCAGCTCACAGAAAGATCTGATTTCATGAATAAATGCTTTAAAATAAGAGTCCTGGGTCTCTGCTCAGTCCACACCTGGTTTAGACAGTAAACCTCACTACACTGGACATGTTTCTCCAGGTACTGCAGCTCTACAGAAGCAGGTACGTCACCAAACCCACTCTAATGACTTTCTACACAACTCAGACTTTCTCTCAGTGGGTCGTTTAGTAGGACGTTTTCTTTTTATTTTGTTATAAACAAAAACAAACAGGGCAGCTGAAGAGAGAGACGCTCTGAATGATCCTGTATTTATTTCTGAAATGTCCTCTTGTGAACAGTAATAAAGATATTCATAAATAAAGTATTTATTTATACATACACACATTGAGTTAAAGTTTAATGTCCAGTAATCTGGACGTTTAAACTCTGTGTAGTAAATTATGCCTTGATTACTTTAATAGACTCATTATAAACACAGTGATTCAGAATTTTAGTTTATTTAGCTTATTTTTAGTTTATAATGTGTATTTAGTTCAGACAGTAGATGATCTATGAATTGGGGATAATAATGATCATAATGATAATAATAATATTTTCTGAATGTTTGTTGAAAAATGAACCGACTAATTTTTATCAGGGTAACAGAACAAAACACACCTGAACATTTCCTGTTTAGTTATGTCTGAAACAGTGATGTTTCTGTCTGTGACGCTGGGCTGCAGTGTAACACGTATGTGATATGTGTATCATATGTAAATGTGAGTGATATGAAATATAGATCAGGTGCTGTTCAGAGTGTTTTACTCCAGTGAGCTCGACTGTTTCAGTCTTTGGTTCACTGGAGATGCAGCAGTGTAATCAGTGTGTATGTTTTGTGTTAAAAAGCTCTCCGTTATTTATTATTATTATTATTATTATTATTACATAATGATAGAAAAGTTCTCCAGGTGGTTCTGAGAGTTTTCTAAATCTTTTTAATGCAGCTGGACATCCTGTAAACACAGGGACAGGTCAGTCTGTTACACTGGTGATAAGAAATCTGCTCATTTTTCAGAAACTCTCACTGAATGTGTCTCAGTCCACACGTCCAGCACACTGGACACTGAATTTATGTTTCCCAGTAAACAAAACCATAATTAAGGTAATATGTAATTTAGTACGTAGCAAAGAACAAAGAACATGATTGATAACAGAGAGTTTGGTCTTAAAGTGTCAGGACTGAGGAGGACACAGAAGCACGTCTATGTCTTAGAGACCCACTATTATTATTATTATTATTATTATTAAATCAAACTTTGTTGAAACTACAAGAAGAACATTGTGTAAACTTTAAAATTCATGGCTGCAATTTTTCAACTTTTCTGAAAATTCAACCCCTAAAAAGAATTAAAAACAAATAAAACCTCGTATCTCCAAAATGGTATCTTTGCTAAACATACTTTATCTTTAATGTAAGTCAGTGGAACCAGACAGTTTTCCAAGTCATTGTGGGTCGTTTCTTTTGGTCCTTTAATCGTGAAATTTACACACAATGTAAAGGACAACAGGCATAAACTGAAAAACATCAGGAATGGAGAAACGAGGTTTTGTCCCGACAGCAGTGAAATATATATATAAAACATTTCAGTGTGAAGTGAATAAAATCTTGGTATTTCAGAAATTGTCTCACCTACTGACTGAATCAGCTCCCACTGTAATTTAGATCACAGCTGCACTGTCAGTCAATCACACTCAAACTCCACATTTCTGCCTTGAAAATGTAAATGCTGCCCAAGTTTAAGGTGGAGCGGAGGAGTCTGTGAAAAGGAGGAGGCGAGTTTTCTGTCCTACCTGCAGCACTCAGGAGCGTGAGGAGCAGTGGGCTCAGAGAGAGGAGCATGGTGAGGAGGTTCCTCCAGCAGATCCAGAGAGGGTTCTGATAAAACCCACTGAGAGAGACAGTAAACCTGCTGCTGCTGTGGGGGGAGTTTAAACTGGACACTGCCCTCTAGTGGACACACTGGGAACCACACATAGTATCTCATTTACAGTAATGAAGTGTAACAGCAGTTATTATAAACTCTATTACTGCTTTATAGTCCTCTTCACTGGAGCTGCACTGATAGGCGGGTTGGGGTTGTTAGTGAAACCCTAAGCTAACACAAAGCTCAGTCAGCGCTCTGGAGGTCAGACTGTGGGTTCACTCCTCCAGGGAGAATAGCTTTTAGCATTCAGTGATCAGTGATGTCTTTAGAGCAGAGCCGTATGTGTAATTAGAGTGAACAGCCGAGTGATAAACCTCCAGAGAAGAGAAACCCAGGACTTCTTTCTTAGTGGGTTGGTTCTAGTTTGTTTGTTTAGCCCTGATCAGACGGGATTAGTTTTAGATGAGGAGGTGAATAATGTGATTATTACCAGCGTTTCTCAGTGACTTCCACCATGTCATATATGTCATACATTCATGCTTCAATAAACATTTCAGCACCTTTTCCCTTCCATAAAAACCACTCCAGGTTATATTAGTACTGTTTTAATCGACATGTCGGTAAAACACGGTCATTAACTGTTACGTATGGAGACACTGAGATACTCGTGTTCTCTGAAGAAGCTGAAGTCCACTTCTTATTCGAATGTTCCTGTTCCACCTTAAATGGTGCGGCAGTTGTTATAGGTGTTTTTCCACTGCGTGGTACCGGCTCAACTCGACTCTACTTGCCTTTTCTGGTTTTCCATCAGGCAAAATTTGGTATGTTTGGACGTTAGCTACCAGGTCAGCGTAGCTTCTTGCGTCGCCTTCAAGCACAGAATCATCTCGTTGTCTGAACACTGATATAGTTTTTGTCAAACTCTCCTGTTTTTGTCAGCAGTCTTTTGTCTCGCTGCTTCTTCTGAACAACATTCGTCTCCGTGTCACGACAGTTTCATGTGGTGTAAACTAATGTTTTTACCCAAAAATGAGGCTGTGGTTCCTATTGAAGGTGCTTCCACCAAACACTGAGCTCAGTGCTTATGCAGTGCTCAGAGCCCTCGTACTCTAGAGAGAACCTGAAGGAACACTGTCTATAAAAAGGCTTTGTGCTTTTTGTTCTAATTAATGATCAGTAATCTGTGTAGGAGCAGAATAATATTACAGTCTGTAAAATATATTTCAGATGTTCTTCGTGCTTCTGTAGAACTTTAACTCAGAGGGTTTTAAGCAGAACGTTCCAGCACAGATCTCCTCACTTACTGCAGAGAATCTCTTACTGTTACCCCTTAATGCTCCTCTGAGACCCACTTTACATCATTAGAGTGTCTCCACATGCTGAGGAAGACTCTGAGGAAGATCTGAGGAGGAAGAAAAACCAACCTTTCCATCTGGAGGAGTAAACAACACACGCTAACATACACTCACCATCCCTCTCTCCCTCTCTGTCTCTCCCTCTCTCTCTCTCTCTCCCTCTCTCTCTCTCTCTGGGGAGAGACAAACAGCAGCGTCTTAAAGCAGATGGAGAATCACTGAAACTTTAATCAGAGCTTTTAAAGAGTCTCCAGATAATTTCACTGTGGAGTGAAAAGGTTAAACATGTTCAAAACTCCTGATAACTCACTCCTCCCTGACTCTCCAACTTCATACACTCAGGCTGAGGAGTCTGAGCACCACTGACCTACTGAGTCGAGTCACTGACCTACTGAGTCTGAGGAGCCACTGTCCTACTGAGAATCCATTGACCCTACAGAATCTGAGGAACCACTGACCTACTGAGTCTAAGGAACCATTGACCTACTGAGAATCCATTGACCTACTGAGAATCCATTGACCTACTGAGAATCCATTGACCTACTGATTCTGGGGAAGCATTGACCTACTGAGTCTGAGGAACCACTGAGTCAACAAACATATGCACTAAGCAATTATAAAAGACAAAGCTTTACAGTTTGAGTGGGTCCATACGGCAGTGAGAACCTCCACTGTGTGTTTTCCAGATGTTTAATTAAGTCTCATTAGTGCTAAATCAGCACAGCTGTTTTGATCAAACAGACAGGCTAGTGAGGCTACAAATACAAGCTTATACAGATCAGTTTACTTCCTGTGTGTGTCACTGAGTCACTGATTGTGTATAATGGAAGGGGGGCTTTAATCCAGCTCCACACAAATTATCACCACAGATGACTCCACCCAACTCCTCCTGGAAGAAGAGACAGGAATGGGGCCTAAATTCAGAAAACTGACCAAAGGGTGGTCAATGAGTTTCCATTCCACCTTAAATGGTGCAGCAGTTACATTCTGGTGCTTCAGGCATTTAAGGTGGAATGGAAAATTCAAAAAAAGAAGCACTTGAGGCAAAGTGGTGCTGATTTCTTCATGCAGTTAGCATCATGCTAATTGGTGGGGTATGAGCTTTCATTACTCATTAGCAGCGTTAGCCTCGTAGCTCCAGTGCTGAAACGTCAGAAGCCTGACAGGTCCTGGCTGATCACTGGAGTAGGAGGGGAAACTGGAAGAATTAGGTTTTAGGTGAACTTTCGCTTTAATAGGATGCAGTTACAGCTGGCAGAGAGCCAGAGAGAGCCAATTAACACAGACCACCATATGGTGTTTACCAATGCTGTGTTATAACAACATCTATAAACATCCTCCAGCTCTACGCATTTAAAATGAAACACACACGAGATCAGAAACGCTCCGTCTTTATTTCTCCTGAGTGAGTCTGAGTTCAGTCCATCATCAGTCTGACATCTGAAAAACAAAACACATTCACACTGGAAAAGACAATAAAACAACACAAACAACACGTTCACACACAGACGTCCCTCCCTCAGCCTTTACCAAGGCATTCGAAGGGGTTTGCTAACGTTACTGCAGCGTTAGCTACTGCAGCACGACTGAAGGTAACCTAAATGAACACGTATAGAACACAGTGACCCTGCAGACTGACCTTTGACCTGGTTTAGGCACTGCTGAAGGCAAATGGCATTGCCATTGCAGCCTGTGGTGGCAGAGCCTGAGCGTGTGACATCAGAGGGTTCCGAAGGGTCACATTAAAGGTTCCTTTCAGAACAGTATCTAGAACAGCTGGACTCAACTACAACACACACACACAAACACGCAATTAGGGTGATGATGCAGAGTGAGTGAGCGTGAGTGTATATTTGAGTGGGTATGCTAGTGTGTGTGTGTGTGTGTGTGTGTGTGTGTGTGTGTACACTCTATGGCCATAAGTATGTGGACACCCCACCTAACTACTGAGTTCAGGTGTTTCAGCCACACTCATCAATAACAGGTGTATTAAATTAAGCACACAACACTGCAGTCTCCATAGACACACACTGGTAGTAGAGGGTCGCACTGAAGAGCTCAGTGACTCTAAACATGGCGCTGATATAGGACGCCATCTTTGCCAAAAATTCAGGTTGTGAAGTTTCGGTCCTGCTAGATCTGCCCCAGACAACTGTAAGTGCTATTATTGTGAAATGGAAGCGTCTGGGAGCGACAACAGCTCAGCCACGAAGCGCTAGACCACTCAAACTCACAGAGTGGGGCTGCCGAGTGCTGAAGTGCACAGTGTCTATCCTCTATTGAATCATCACTACAGAGCTCCAAACTGCCTCTGGAAGCAACATCAGCAAAAGAACTGCACATTAGGAGCTTCACGAAATGGGTTTCCATGGCTGAGCAGCTGCACACAAGCCTGAGAACACTATGCGCAACGCCAAGCGTCAGCTGGAGGGGTGTAAAGCACACGGCCCCTACACTCTGGATCAGTGGAACCGTGTTCTCTGGAGCAATGAATCTTCTCTATCTGTCAGTCTGATGATGAGTCTGGGTTTGGTGGGTGCCAGGAGAACGTTACCTACCTGAATGCAGAGCCAACAGTACAGTTTGGTGGAGGAGGGATGATGGGCGGGGCTGTTTTTCAGGGTTTGGGCCCCTCAGTTCCAGTGAAGGGTGATGTTGATGTTACAGCACAAAGACACAGTTATATGTCAGCAGTTTGGGGAAGAGCCTTTCCTGTTCCAGCCTGACTGAGCCCCAGTGCACAAAGCAGCTCCATAAAGACATGGAGTGACCAGTTTGGTCTGGAGGAACTCCAGTGGCCCTCACAGAGCCCTGACCTCAGCCCCACTGAACACCTTTAGGATGAACTAGAATGGAGATTGTGAGCCAGACCCCCTCGTCCAACATCAGAGTCTGACCTCACAAATGCTGTTTTGACTGAATGGACACAAATTCCCACAGACTCTCCAACATCTTGTGGAAAGCTTCGCAGAAGAGTGGAGGCTGTTCAGCTGTAAAGGAGGGACCAACTCCATATTAATTACAATGGTTCTGGAATGGAACGTCCAACAAGCTCATATAGGTGTGCTGGTCGGGTGTCCACATAGTTTTGGCCATATAGTGTGTGTGGGGGTCTGTGTGTGTGATTGAGTCAAGGTCAATCCATAGTCCAGGTGCTGAGTGTTGCTCAACAAAGAATGAGATAAAAGAGACAAAATCTGTGTCTGTTATGGCGTCGCAGACCTTATCGCACACATCAAACATCTGAAAGGACTCGGACGTTGTCGCGCAGATGATGTTCTGTTCTGACGTGTTGTCGCTGGTGCAGGACTGTGAAGGTCTGACACGTCTGTCCACCACAGTTTTTTATATTGAGCGACACTCAACGCCTGGACTATAAACTGGCCTTCAGTGTGTAAAAGTGTGTGTGTGTGTGTGTGTGTGTACCGTGTACGTTCCCGGTCCAGGTGTTGTGTTTTTCGCCTGTTTGAAGCGATCCTCATGAGAGCCAATCAGAGCGAGTTTAGGAGTGGCCTTCAGCTCAGGACTGTACTGACCAGGACCTGAACAGTAATGATACGTATCCATAAATGTGTGTTTTAGTGCAGAGTGTAATTCACTGCAGATCACTAAAACACAGT